TTTGTCCCATTCGGTGTCGAGACCCTTGGTCCGTGGGGTCCTAGCGCTATAAGGCTTTTTAAAGAAATAGCGAAAAGATTAGTCGACATCACAGGAGACCGAAGAGCTGGCAGCTACCTCGGACAAAGAATAAGTCTAGCTATCCAAAGGGGGAACGCTGCCAGTATCTTCGGAACCTTGCCTAAAGGGACTCCTTTTAATAATGTATTTTAGTTATTATATTTTATTTTTTAAGGTTTTTAGTTTTAGGTTCATTGTTATAGTATATTTTTTGTTTTAATTATTCTTAAATTTATTCATATTACGGTACAATAAATGTTATAGTTAATTTTATATTTAGTATATAGGAAGCGGCATAAGATAAGGCAGTAATATGGTACCTATTACTGTTATGAAAAATGACTAATACCCATAAATTAACAAATTACAAGAAACACTATGTCCATGCATTACGATCATTTAGATAATCATCAACTTAATAATATCCCTTATTCATAAGAGTATTCTTGATCTGAGATTAAAATTTGGTCAGTGGAAGCTCAATCAGATCTAGGGGAACTTTATTAAACAATGCAATACTACAACCCATAAATAAACCTCTTGATTTTTGGAGTCTGAAACATGGAATGGCAAGCATGTTCTTAAATCTCGTGTTAAAGTTATGGGTTTGACTTTTTTTCGCAAATGCGTCATAGTTTCTTCTTACATATATTGTTTTCATATATGTATTGCGATGCCAGTGTTAAAATATTAATTTCTTTAAACTTTTCTCTAAGAGATTCTCTTGCCTTTAACTTGTATATGGTACGAACATCTCTCTTTCGCAGTGAGGAAATATTTTTGATATTAAGTAAAAAAGAAAAGGCCGAAAAGGCTGCGAAACGTCAATAAATAAACAAAGTTCGTGCATTAATCCGTTAAAACTAGTTTTATTTAATGAGTGATGTGCGTGAAAACCTAAGCCGCAACATATATTCTACAAGCTTTGTTTAAACTAGTATATATATGTTATGATTTTATTTATTTTTTAAGCTATTAACTGCTAGATGTTTAAATCTAAAGAAAAGTTTACTAGAAAAAAAAATCCACGCGGTCCAGGCAGCGGACGCTGCCTATTGCTTAAAAAATAAATAAAATCATAACTATAATTGCTATTTCTTCTTTCAATTGTTTGATACTTGAAAAAGTATTCATTTGACATTGTGGGTTACCTACAATGCGAAGAGATGGCGCTGCCTTGCAGCTTAAGGCTAGGAAAAATTTCGACGCGGCTAATAGGGCCGTGGTAGCATAATGGTCAGTGCATTCGCCCGGATAGCGAAGGATGCGGGTTCGAGTCCCGTCCGCTGCCTGGTCTGCGTGGATTTTTTTTTTCTAGTAAACTTTTCTTTAGTATATATATGACTTGTTTCTTGGTGGAATGCCATCTCCTTTTTTAAATCCGTTAGAGTACTCATCTGTTTTTTTTACCAATCTCATTGAAACCAATAATCATCAACCAAACCTATATCTAACTGGTAGAATAATAAATAAATAAATAAATATTTCCAACACTCACACCAATTAGCCTAGCCCCAAAGTAAGCACTATAAGGCTTGTGTTATGGGATGCTAGGGTAACGGATAGAATACATAAACTGTACTTATGTAAGCATATTTATATAGAAAATAGATATTAAACAGCCATGACTGGTGTACAAATACTCGTATTCATCACAGAAACATCTGCCCACACCGGGATTCGAACCCAGGACCTCTCGAGTCGGTGACACCATGTAACCCGGCGTACAAACCACTCGGCCACAGAGGTCGTCAATAATCACACTAATATTATAAAAGCGAAAGTTTATGAGTGCGTGTATGTTTGTTACTTCTTCAGGTCTAAACGGCTGGAGTGATTTTAATTAAATTTGGTGTGGAGTTAGCTGTGATCCTGGATTTACACATAGGCTACGTTTTACTGCGGGAAAGTATCCTTTATAAACGCCGCGGGGCACAGCTAGTCTGGTATCAAGATAACAATAAAATCGAGAACCTTCTCGTTGTAAGTTCTGTCAGCAATTATATTGACAAAAACTAAATCCGACTTTATAATTACAAATAATATTTATTTATTTATTTTATTCTTCATGCATTACAATTGTGCAATGGCGGAGTTAATGCCGTAGGCAATCTCTACCAGTCAACCTTAAGGTGTTGTGGATAAAATTTGTGGTAGGGTGCACAACTAAGGTAAAAATCAAGCAAACATTTAAGGGAGGAAATATAAATAGTATCATAATATATATTAATTAGAATACACAAATATTATGTCCGCTTAAACAAAAAAAAAATTTTTTTTTTAGTTTTTATTTATCCACTAGCTGTGCCCCGCGGTGTTACCCGCGGTTTATTAGGAATAATATTTTCCCGCAGTAACACGTAGCCTATGTGTTAATCCAGGGTGTCAGGTAACACCATACCAAATTTTATTAAAATCGCTCCAGCCGTTAAGACGTGAAGAAGTAACAAACATACCTCACACACTCACAAACTTTCGCCTTTATAATATTATAGTGTGAATACCATATTTATATCTTGTTTTAAACTTTCATGGTCACTAACATTATAGTAATATAAGTTATTTACGGGATTGTTACCATGTATGATGACCGTGATCATGGCGCTTGCAACAGTGCCGAAATATCGGAAACTCGCTAAAAACAAGGTACATGGTAACAATCCCGTAAATAACTCATATTTATATCGCTGAATCTGTACTTGCTAAATGTATGCTAACAAAAATATTGAGTTTACGTTGCTTTTGGAATAAATTATTAGTAACAAAAACAAAACCACAATAAATAAGAAATAAAAAAAAGTTTAAATTAAAATTAACAACATTCAGAGTATGTATCAAGTCAACAAACATACCTATCTAATAGATCTGAGTTATTAGGCCCGTATTATAGAAAGATTCTCAGTGATTGATCTAGTCTTGAGCATAGTTAGAAAGGGATGTCGCTATATAAAGCACATAGCGACATCCCTTTCTAACTGTACTCAAATAAATATCAACACTTTGTTGTCATTCTGTAATACGGGCCTTAGTTCTCAAAGCATTTTTTTGAAGTCGTTTAAAAAAAAGGCCAAATTAATAATATTATTTTCACACACACAATTTCTAAGTAAAAATACCATTGTAGCAAATTCCTTTTAAAACCCTTTTGTGTCCTAATCGCTCCTACGCGTCATTTCTATTGATTTAATAAGCGTAATTAGGAAAAATAGCCGATAATGAGCTAAGTCACAAACACTAAATACATTTCACCATTATAAAAATGCATTGTAGACTTTAAAATATTATCAGTTGATTTCTAGTAGGCGAGGGTGAAAGATCATATAACTATTTTTTATTGTTAAATAAATTGTGGTTAAAATATTAAAGTAACAGTGAAATTTCGCAGTGAGGTGTTATATATAGAGTTATTTAGTGACAAAAAGGCAGTTTGTGTTAAAAAGGCGCAGGTGAAAAATGTAAGTTTTTCTTTTATTACAATTTTTAAACAAGCTTCCGCCCGCGGCTTTGTCTGTGTTTTAGTAAGTGTTTTATAAATCCCAAAGGAACCCAACTTTCTTGACATACAAACTTTTACAATATTGTATATTCGATGTAGACTATAGCTTTTGGTCTCGGGTATTATTTCCGTAACCTTCTACAACAAAGTATTAGTATGAAATAATTAAAGTCGTTCATATTTTATGGCGTGACAGAGAAAAGCAGGGATTCATTTTTAAATATAGGGTAAATAAGTCTAATTTAAAAATATAATCATAAAATATGCCTACTTTAAGAGGGATATTTACTATAAATATGATATAAGAAGTATCATTATTACTATTTTTAGTGTTCACAAATTATGTATCACTATACCAACTTTCATCCCATACATATTTCTAATTATGTGCCTATATGTTCAGGAGCCAATATAATTTTGTATATTTATAGATAAACCGAAATTGAAAGACGTATTATTACCGATCAGAAACGAAAATCTATTTCATGTTTCAATCTTGATCCCGCCCGACTTCCAAATCATGAACCAGATATTATTTTTTACTTTTTAGTTCCATTTGCTAGAATAAAGTCGTTTTTTTTTTGTTTAAAAAAAATAATTTCTTCCATTTTAGTGAAAATTCATTGTCCAAGTAAACAATAACACAGTTGACGAGGAAATCGGTGAGCATGCTTAAAAACTATCGTGCGTGAATTTGAAATTTGAAGGTTTCCCTCGATTTCCCCAGATTGCACCATCAGATCCTGGCTTGGTTCCAATGTGACCACCTAGGAAGTGCACTCTTTCGAATAAAAAAAGAACTTTGGAAATCGGTCCACAATTGACGGAGTAATAGGTGAACATACGTTAAAAACAAAGAAAAATATCTATACAGTCGAACATAGAACCTCCTCCTGTTTTAAAGTCGGTTAATAAAAATGAATCCCTCTTTCCTTTGGTCACGATATAACTTGAAGACGACTTAACTGATTTCATCTTTCTCTTTTGAAGTATTCGATAATATTTTGCAGAACGTTAAAATGGAAAAAATAGCAAGAAAATTAGATGAAAACCTAACCTTACTTGCAACTTTACCCTATATGTAGCTGCAGTTCTGGTGTAAGGATTTTTTTATATTTTAATCCAGCAGGACAATGTCTAGGGTCAGCTTGTTTAATTTAAACATACATCTACTACATGTTAATTATTATATATATTTTTTTAAGGTTTTTAGTGTTACGTTCATTGTTCTAGTATATATTTTTTTTGTTTTAAGCTAGTACTAGATAATAGTACATTTGTTAAATATATAGGTGTATATTATATTTATTTGTTATGTATTAAAATACCTAAACAACAAAATGTACACATATTTAAGAGATCATACATTTGTATTTTAATTCAATCTGCAAATATTAGCAAAGGAATTTCGTTTTTATTAACAATTATGTTTAGAAACCATTACGAATGTTAAATATTGTAATTAAATTCTCTCTAATTATACTTAAGCACTTGTTATATTTAACTACGTGTAATGTAAATTTTATTGTTGTGTTCAACAATGACTTCAACACAATCTTGTCATTTAACGGCAGTATCTCATCTTCAGTAGACATGTGTGCTCTTTTGTCACTGGATCTTGAGATAACTGCTGTGAATGACAAAATGTCATCAATTCACATATGCTGGCAGTATTCCTGCCTAACAGTAAGTAGTAGTCGTCATACACTCAGTAGACATGTTGACACTAGGTGATATAATTACTGCTACGATATGTACTACTACACATCTCATCAAGAAGAAGAAGGTGATAAAAACACAACCTGTCTAACCTAGCAGTCATCGTACACTCAGTTGACATGTTGACATTCTGTCACTGGGTGATACGGTGTCTACTATGTTATGAAACATTTCATTATCAGATTTATCAGTTTACGAAGAGCGCCCGCCCTCAATGCACTTAATTAACTTGATTTGCATGTTATTTGATGTACCTGATGTATAATGTTTAAGTATTCCTAAATTTATAATTTGTTTGTCTCTTTTAGAAATTGTATATTTCATCTGTCATTTTACATTAATATATCGTCATGGCGAACGTCATATTACTGTAGTATCTTATTCTCAGCAGACATGTATACCATTTTGTCACTGGGTTTTAAGATTACTGCGGTGTTTGACACTTAGTTTATATACACTTGGTAACATTTTGTCAGCACATTTGTTGTGAACATTATCTGTACTAGTTTTATAATTTTTTCTATATTTATTTTTAACGTGTCCTCTTTACAACGGGCTTGTTATTTGCGGTAGTATCTCATCTTCAGTAGACATTTCTTGTCATTTTGTCACTGGTAATGAGATTACTATTGTAAATGACATCTCATCACCACGAAAGTTCCACATCTACACAGGATTCATAACAAAGAATCATGTCAATGTTGTCATTTTATAACTGGGTGATATGAGGTGTACTCTCAGTTATGACACATATTATCAACAACATACTATCATACATACTTCATACATACATACTTCAAATGTACGAAATTTAATTATTTTTTTAAAATGGTAGTAGTATTCTGTAAATGGGAAACATGGTGGTTGTTTCTGCTAAATAATGAACTTCATATGTATAATATCATTAAATTTTGTGTCATATTTCCTCCGAAAATGTGTTGTAAACTTGCAAGTAATATTCAATAGGTTACATCAGCGTCTTCAACATTGCATTGTCATTTCACGACAGTATCTCATATTCAGTAGGCATGTGTGCTATTTTGTCACTGGATCTTGAGATAACTGCTGTAAATGACAGCTATCATCGACTAAAACATAGCGCCATTCTGTAACTAGGTAATTTGACGTCTGCTAACGGCTGATACATATCATCACATGATTAGGTGCATTTTATTTAATTTTGTCTAACAGTGGTAGTTTTCATATACCCAGAAGACATGTTATCATTTTGTCACTGGGTGAAATGATAACTGTTACGGTTTATGACATATATCATAAAAATAAAGTTTATAGATAACAGAATCTGGCGGAGCCCATAAAAGCGACCACCCTTTTACAAAAAGAAAGGAAGAACATAACAGATTTTCAACACAGTGACTTCGCGAATATTTATATGAATAACAACCTCAAGCACTGAGCTATATATAGCACATAGCGACATCCCTTTCTAACTGTACTCAAGTAAAGATCAACACTTTGTTGTCATTCTGTAATACGGGCCTTAGTTATTAAAGCATTTTTTGAAGAAAGGCCAAGGTGATACTATCATTTTCACACACATACAATTTCCGCGGTGTTACCCGCGGTTTATTAGGAATAATATTTTCCCGCAGTAAAACGAAGCCTATGTGTTAATCTAGGGTGTCAGGTAACTCCATACCAAATTTTATTAAAATCGCTAAAGCCGTTAAGACGTGAGGAAGTAACAAACATACCTCACACACTCACTAACTTTCGCTTTTATAATATTAGTGTGAGTACCATATTTATATCGCTGAATCTGTACTTACAATGTCATTTAGAGCAAATGTATGCTAACAAAAATTTTGAGTTTACGTTGCTTTTGGAATAAATTATTATTATAAAAACAAAACTACAATAAATAAGAAATAAAGAAAAGTTTAAATTAAAATTAACAACATTCAGAGTTTGACGGCCTCCGTGGCCGAGTGGTTTGTACGCCGCCGGGTTTCATGGCGACGCCGACTCGAGTGGTCCCGGGTTCGAACTCCGGTGGAGGCAGATGTTTGTGTGATGAACACGAGCATTTGTACTCCAGTCATGGATGTTTAATATGTATTTCTATATCAATATACTTAAATATGTAAAGTATATGTATTCTATCCGTTACCCTAGCATCCCATAACACAAGCCTTATAGTGCTTACTTTGGGGCTAGGCTAATTGGTGTGAGTGTTGGAAATATTTATTTATTTAGAGTATGTATCAAGTTATCAAACATACCTATGTAATAGATCTGAGTTATTAGGCCCGTATTATAGAAAGATTCTCAGTGATTGATCTAGTCTTGAGCATAGTTAGAAAGGGATGTCGCTATATAAAGCACATACCGACATCCCTTTCTAACTGTACTCAAATAAAGATCAACACTTAGTTGTCATTCTGTAATACGGGCCTTAGTTCTCAAAGCATTTTTTTGAAGTCGTTTAAAAAAGGGCCAAATTAATAATATTATTTTCACACACATACAATTTCTAAGTAAAAATGCCATTGTGGCAAATTCCTTTTAAAACCCTTTTGTGTCCTAATCGCTCCTACGCGTCATTACTATTGATTTAATAAGCGTAATTAGGAAAAATAGCCGATAATGAGCTAAGTCACAAACACTAAATACATTTCACCATTATAAAAATGGCATTGTAGACTTTAAAATATTATCAGTTGATTTCTAGTAGCCGAGGGTGAAAGATCATATAACTATTTTTTATTATTAAATAAATTGTGGTTTAAATATTAAAGTGATAGTGAAATTTCGCAGTGAAGTGTTATATATAGAGTTATTAAGTGACAAAAAGGCAGTTTGTGTTAAAAAGGCGCAGGTGTAAAATGTAAGTTTTTCTTCTATTTTAAATTTTAAACCAACTTCCGCCCGCGTATTTGTGTGTGTTTTAGTAAGTGTTTTATAAATCCCAAAGGAACCTAACTTTCATAACATTCGAACTTTTACAATTATAATATTTGTATCGTTTAATCGGTGTAGACTATAGCTTTTGTTCTCGGGTATTTTTTCCGTAACCTTCTACAACATAGTATTTATTAGTATGAAATAAGTAAAGTCGTTCATATTTTATGGCGTGACAGAGAAAATCAGGGATTAATTTTTAAATATAGAGAAAACAAGTTTAATTTTAATAATATTATCATGAAATTTGCCTTCTTTAAAAGGGAGATTTAGTATCGTCCCATAACTTTCATTTATTCCTTTTCATATAAGAAGTATCATAACTACTATTTTTTAATAGTGTTAACAAATTATGTATCACTATACCAACTTTCATTCCATACATATTTGTAATTATGTGCCTATATGTTCAGGAGCCAATATGATTTTGTATCTTTATAGATAAACCGAAATTTATCAAAATCGATACGATGAGCAGCCTCGTGTACCAAAATACATGTTCCCTTCATAACGAAACTTTCGTCCCCTATTACAGACTTTTCACGCGAATGATCAGTGTTCTTTAAGTGCTTATAGGTTCAGCAAAATTCATCGAAATCGATTCAGTCAGCATTTTATTCGTGAAAATATAAGATACAGATATACAGTCACTTTAGCGTATATAATAGGTACCACCAATAAGGGTAAATGACAGGTTGGTGCAACGGCAGAAATGCTGCCTTCTGCTAAAATCGTGCCGGGTTCGAATCCCTGAAGTCAAAGTGTGGTTGTTCGCGAGTCATAGTCGTTTATAATATACCTACAGAAAACTAGCGGACTTTAACTGACACGTTTAAAAAAGAAAACTAAATACTACTAGAATAGGCTAGTTGACTCATGTCGAATTGTATTAAATAAATGTTTATTTCTTAAAGTATTTGGTCTAAGGAACCTAAATATATCGATTTCACTTTATAAAAACAGAAGATTGTTGAAGGAATTTAATTTAAAAAAAATATTTTTAGTCTATACTTTTTAAACACTAAAAACGCTGTTCGCCACATCCGCCATGATTGTGACGTCTCTTTTAGTAAACAACTAGATGTCATTCATACATAACTTTAAAACTTTTATTATTAAAACTGATAATAAATGAAGAGACTTAAAATATTATTCAATGAGTACTTACATCAAAGTGATCTTTGCAAAAATAAATTTTACTATGAGTCGATAAAGTTGCAGGATCACTTTTAGCAAGTTCTAACCAGGTATTGCGTAGGTTAATTTCTTTCGGCACTTTAATCCACAACTTTCCTGGAGTCTTCAAGGATGTGTTTTTACATTCTCGTACAATACAATAATGATAATTACTATATTTTTCGTGGTATCTATTAGAAATCATGTTTTCTTTTTATTATAAACTCAGATAGGTTATTTTCTACGTGCTTACGAGTTTTTGTTTACTACCGTCAACGTCATAGCATAGATAATCTATAGACTAAAATGGCCGACAGCGTTTTTGTATGTCCATGAAAAGTCTATTTTAAAAATAAAGATTTGTAGCTTTCTAGGTCTCAAAAAAATACAATACATTTTTTTCGGTCTAATAGAACATTTATTAACCATTTAAAACCTTTTTCCAAAAAGGGTCAACTAGCCTTTTATGCACCACAAAAAATGTTTATGGAAAATTCGTTGCCCAATCCTTTTGACAGAAAAAAAAAGAAAAGCATTGACTTTAAGGTGGTTGGAGCCTACTTTTAAGCAAAGAATTTTACATGTATTACAAGATTATTTGTATGGGCATGCAGTAAAATGATTAAAGGAGTTCAATTACTCGTACTTACACACGGACAGAAGCACTCTTAACTAATCTATAGAAATAAATAAATAAAAAATGAATCCCTATTTCCTTTGATCACGATATAACTTGAACTAATTTCATCTTTTTCTTTTGAAGTTTTCGATAATATTTTGTAGAACGTTCTAATGGAAACAAACATTAGAGAGCGCAGAAAATTAGATGAAAACCTAACATTACTTGCAACTTTACCCTATGGGTGTATTCCGTAATATATACCAGTATACTGGCCAGTGCTAATGACGTCATAAATCGACGAAATATTATAAATAGTGCGAATAAAGAAGATTTTTTATTCACCTCATCAAATAAAAGGAATTCTTTTTGTTCAGAAGCCATTAATGTTCTTTTAATAAAAAAGAAATAAAATTCGATTCATCTCACGCATGCTCGGTCATTCGCCATATCCGTTTACCGGTAAAAATATGGTAGCATACCAGTACAATATGGCGTCGGATTCGTGACGTCATTACCACTGGCCAGTATACTGATATATATTTCGGAATACACCCTATATGCAGCTGCAGTTCTGGTGTTAGGATTTTTTTATATTTTAATCCAGCAGGACAATGTCTACGGTCAGCTTGTTTAATTTAAACATACATCTACTACATGTAATTTATTATATATATTTTTTTAGGTTTTTAGTTTTTGGTTCATTGTTCTAGTATTTTTTTTTTGTGTTTTAAGCTAGTATTACATAGTAGTATATTTGTTAATTAAATAGGTGTATATTATATTTATTTGTTATGCAGTAAAAAACCTAAACAACAAAATGTACATTATATTTAAATGATCATACATTTGTATTTTAAATCAATCTGCAAATATTAGCATTTTTATTAAAGGAATTTCGTTTTTATTAATAATGATGTTTAGAAACCTTTACGAATGTTAAATATTGTAATTAAATTCTCACTAATTATACTTAAGCACTTGTTATATTTAACTACGTGTAATGTAGATTTTATTATTGTGTTCAACAATGACTTCAACACAATCTTGTCATTTAACGGCAGTATCTCATCTTCAGTAGACATGTGTGCTCTTTTGTCACTGGATCTTGAGATAACTGCTGTGAATGACAAAATGTCATCAATTCACATATGCTGCCAGTATTCCTGCCTAACAGTAGTAGTCGTCATACACTCAGTAGACATGTTGACACTAGGTGATATAATTACTGCTACGATATGTACTACTACACATCTCATCAAGAAGAAGAAGGTGATAAAAACACAACCTGTCTAACCTAGCAGTCATCGTACACTCAGTTGACATGTTGACATTCTGTCACTGGGTGATACGGTGTCTACTATGTTATGAAACATTTCATTATCAGATTTATCAGTTTACGAAGAGCGCCCGCCCTCAATGCACTTAATTAACTTGATTTGCATGTTATTTGATGTACCTGATGTATAATGTTTAAGTATTCCTAAATTTATAATTTGTTTGTCTCTTTTAGAAATTGTATATTTCACCTGTCATTTTACATTAATATATCGTCATGGCGAACGTCATATTACTGTAGTATCTTATTCTCAGCAGACATGTATACCATTTTGTCACTGGGTTTTAAGATTACTGCGGTGTTTGACAATCCTTCACCACAGTTAAAATAATACAGAATATTAAATATTCCATTGAATTATTTCATTTTTAACATTTAACGATATTCTCAACACAGTTCTGTCGTTTTACCATATATTGCTATTTTGTCATTGGATTTTAGAGTAATATTGTAATCGACAACAACTTACGACGAAAAATTTCATAAAATTACTCCCATGTGTAATGTCTCACAATAGTAGTGATTCTCTTATAACTTAACATTTTAGACGAATTGAATTTTATCAATTATATTTAATTTATTTATTAAATCAAAAATATAAATGCTAATATTTAAATGTCATAAGAGTTACTAACAATTTATTCGTACTTTTCATTTTACTTCTCACATACTTGTCAACCTTTCTACGTCATTTTACTGTAGTGTCTTACTCTCAGTAGACATGTCATCATTTTTTGTCACTGGGTTTAAGATAACTTCAGTATTTGACAGCTGTTCTCCGCCTTGAAAATATTTGAACATCAAAAACGTTTACTGTATGTTGATTCTAATTAATTTGATATGTAAGTGCCTTTTTTAATTGATTTCATGTTGTGCACATTATCTGTACTAGTTATATATTTTTTTTTATATTTATTTTTAACGTGTCCTCTTTACAACGGGCTTGTTATTTTGCGGTAGTATCTCATCTTCAGTAGACATTTTTTGTCATTTTGTCACTGGTAATGAGATTACTATTGTAAATGACATCTCATCACCACGAAAGTTCCACATCTACACAGGATTCAGAACAAAGAATCATGTCAATGTTGTCATTTTATCACTGGGTGATATGAGGTGTACTCTCAGTTATGACACATATTATCAACAACATACTATCATAAACTTCATATGTACGAATTTTTTTTTTTTTTTTAAATGGTAGTAGTATTCTGTAAATGGGAAACATGGTGGTTGTTTCTGATAAATAATGAACTTCATATGTATAATATCATTAAATTTTGTGTCATATTTCCTCCGAAAATGTGTTGTAAACTTGCAAGTAATATTCAATAGGTTACATCAGCGTCTTCAACATTGCATTGTCATTTCACGACAGTATCTCATATTCAGTAGGCATGTGTGCTATTTTGTCACTGGATCTTGAGATAACTGCTGTAAATGACAGCTATCATCGACTAAAACATAGCGCCATTTTGTAACTAGATAATTTGACGTCTGCTAACGGCTGATACATATCATCACATGATTAGGTGCATTTTATTTAATTTTGTCTAACAGTGGTAGTTTTCTTATACCCAGGAGACATGTTATCATTTTGTCACTGGGTGAAATGATAACTGTTACGGTTTATGACATATATCATCAAAATAAAGTTTATAGATAACAGAATCTGGCGGAGCCCAGAAAAGCGACCACCCTTTTACAAAAAGAAAGGAAGAAGATAACAGATTTTCAACACAGTGACTTCGCGAATATTTATATGAATAACAACCTCAAAGCACTGAGCTATATATAGCACATAGCGACATCTCTTTCTAACTGCACTCAAGTAAAGATCAACACTTTGTTGTCATTCTGTAATACGGGCCTTAGTTATTAAAGCATTTTTTGAAGTCGTTTAAAAAAAGGCCAAGGTGATACTATCACTTTCACACACATACAATTTCTAAGTAAAAATACCATTGTGACAAATTCCTTTTAAAATCCTTTTGTGTCCTTATCGCTCTTACGTGTCATTACTATTGATTTAATAAGCGTAATTAGGTAAAAAAGCCGATAATGAGCTAAGTCACAAACACTAAATACATTTCACCATTATAAAAATGCATTGTAAACTTTAAAATATAATCAGTTGATTTCTAGTAGCCGGGGGTGAAAGATCAAATAACTATTTTTATTTTTAAATATATTGTGGTTTAAATATTAAAGTAATAGTGAAATTTCGCAGTGAAGTGTTATATATAAGGCGCATGTGAAAAATGTAAGTCTTTCTTCTATTTTAAATTTTAAACCAGCTTCCGCCCGCGTCTTTGTCTGTGTTTTGGTAAGTGTTTTATAAATCCCATAGGAGCGTAACTTTCTTAACATACAAACTTTTACAATTATAATATTTGTATCGTATATTCGGTGTAGACTACAGTTCTTGCTCTTATGGCGTGACAGAAAAAAAACAGGGATTCATTTCTAAATATAGAGAAAATAAGTTGAATTTTAATAATATTATCATGAAATTATGCCTTCAGGACCCAACATAATTTTGTATCTTTATAGATAAACCGAAATTCATCAAGTGGCTGAGTGGTTTGTACGCCGGGTTTCATGGTGTCGCCGACTCGAGAGGTCCCGGGTTCGAATCCCGGTGGAGGCAAGATGTTTGTGTGATGAATACGAGCATTTGTACTCCAGTCATGGATGTTTAATATGTATTTCTATATAGATATCCTTATATATGTACAGTATATGTATTCTATCTGTTATCCTAGCATACCATAACACAAGCCATACAGTGCTTTCTTTGGGGCTAGGCTAATTGGTGTGAGTGTAGTAAATATTTATTTTTATTTATTATTATTAAAAAAAAACACTTGTGACTGCCTAGATTGCATACATTGATAATGAATTTTAATTTATACAATCAACGGACATTTTGACATACTGCCACTAGGTGATATAATTACTGCTACGATATGTACTACTACACATCTCATCTAGAAGAAGAAGGTGATAAAAACGCAACCTGTCTAACCTGGCAGTCATCGTACGCTCAGTTAACATGTTGACATTTTGTCACTGGGTGATACGGTGTCTACTATGTTTCGTACATTTCATTATTAGATTTATCAGTTTAAGAAGAGCGACCTCAATACGATTTTTTTTGGCAGTTGTATATTTCACCTGTCATTTTACATTAATATATCATCATGGCGAACGTCATATTACTGTAGTATCTTATTCTTAGCAGACATGTATATTATTTTGTCACTGGGTTTTAAGATTACTGATTACGGTTTTTGACAATCCTTCACCACAGTTAAAATAATACTGAATATTAAATATTCCATTGAATTATTTCATTTTTAACATTTAACGATATTCTCATCACAGTTCTGTCGTTTTACCATATATTGCTATTTTGTCACTGATTTTAGACTAATATTGTAATCGACAACAACTTACGACGAAAGATTCCATAAAATTCATGTCTCACAATAGTAGTGATTCTCTTATAACTTAACATTTTAGACGAGTTAAATTTTATCAATAAAATTTTCTTTATTTATAAAATCAAAAATACAAATGCTAATATTTAAATGTCATAAGAGTTACTAACAATTTAATCGTACGTTTCATTTTACTTCTCACATACTTGTCAACCTTTCTATGTCATTTTACTGTAGTGTCTTACTCTCAGTAGACATGTCATCATTTTTTGTCACTGGGTTTAAGACAACTTCAGTATTTGACAGCTGCTCTCCGCCTTGAAAATATTTGAACATCATAAACGTTTACTATATCATCATTCTAATTCATTTGATATGTAAGTTCAATTTTTAATTGTTTTTCTTTTTGTGTAGCATATTTTCCTGGCTCATGTTTAGTACAAATTTGTTATGTTCTGTATAGGTTTTTAGATAAGCTGAGCTGTAAATAATGTACTAAGATATATTGCAAATTGCCACCACATACAAACACTTGGTACACTCTCTGTCAGACTAAGATATCTTATGATGTAAAACATTTTGTCAGTACATTTGTTGTAAATATTATTTGGACTACAGTCATCTAAATTTTTCTATATTTATATTTAGTAAGTCCTCTTTACAACGGGCTTGTTATTTTGCGGTAGTATCTCATCTTCAGTAGACATTTTTTGTCATTTTGTAACTGGTAATGAGATTACTATTGTAAATAATATCTCATCACCACGAAAATTCCACATCTACACAGGAATCATAACTAACAAAAGCAGTGGTCATATCAAGGAATCAAGCATTTCGATTTCAAGAGTTTATTGTTACCATAAGTTTAATTTCAAATTTACTTATATGCAGTCATCATGAACTTAAAAGACATGAACAACATTTTATGACTGGGTTTTAAATGACAACATGTCTTTTAAACAACAAAATACTATCATAAACCTCAAATGTACGACATTTCATTATATTTTGTTAAAATGGTAATCGTTTTCTGTAAATAGGAAACATGATGGCTGTTTCTGCTAAATAATGAACTTCATATGTAGAATATTATTAAATTTTGTGTCATATTTCAGCCGAAAATGTATTGTAACCTTGCGGCCTTGCAAGTAATTTCAATTGGGGTACATCAATGTCTTCAACATTGCATTGTCATTTCACGACAGTATCTCATATTCAGTAGACATGTGTGCTATTCTGTCACTGGATCTTGAGATAACTGCTGTAAATGACAGCTATCATCGACTAAGACATAGCGCCATTCTGTAACTATATAATAATAACAACCTCAAAGTAAACATATTCGACTGACAAATTGCAAATCAGTGGGATTTTTGTCTTAATATTGTGTGTACCTTTTTCACTTTATTGAGGATTATGAATTAAGTTCTGAAATATATATGTATATTTGATATGTTTTTAGGTATTGTTCACGATAAAGGTATTTTTTATCACAATCTTGTCATTTTACGGCAGTATCTCATCCTCAGTCGTCATTTTTGTCATATTGTCACTGGGTTTTGACATACGGCCGTCAATGACATCATCTGTCATCGATCGTTACATATTGCTTATCGCCACACCATTCATGTCCAATAGTACAAGTTGTCATTCGCTCAGTAGACATGTTTTCATTTTGTCACTGGGCGATAGACGCCTGTTACTGTATGACACATATCAGCAACCCTAAACTTGAACAATTATCATTTTATAAATAAAAGTAGCTTTTACGGGTTAATGCACGAAACTTTATTTATTTTTTGACGTTTCTCATTTTTATTATATTTACCTTATTTATATTTACCTACTTTCGGTGTGTTTATTTCGCAATAGTCCTTTTACAATAGTGTCTAGTCCTCAGTAGACATGTTTATCATTTTGTCACTGGGTTTCTAGATTACTGCTGTATACGACTGAACTACTTTCAACGATCACATCAGATTCATCGCGAACGACAAGCAGTCAACAATTGAACGTCATTGAACTATTGTTAATAAAATTTGTCATCGATCAATAATAACTTCATATTATCACACCAATTATGTCTAACTCTGGTAGTTGTCATACACTCAGTAGACATGTCCTTTTGCAACTGCGTGATATAGCATTTGCTACGGTCATGGCATATATCGTAACCTTATTGTCATTACCGTTGTATATACAACATTTTATTACATTTTGTCTAACAGTGGTAGTTGTCATACGCTCAGTAGACATGTTATCATTCTGTCACTGGGCGATTTGATGACTGCTACGGTTATGGCATATATCGTCAGCTTATTATCTTATGAAGAAGGCAGCGTATCCTTATCCGGCCTATTACCCGCACTAAACGCGCTGTATACGCACCGACTAACCACGTCTTTACCTTTGTCAGGGATGTCCTCACTCAGCACGACGATATAAACATATTTGCAGATTCTTTGCGACATCTTTTATCCCAATTTTATAGTGTATTATTACATGATGGTGAATAATTTTGACCTGTAATCTAGAAATATTAATTTTGACTTGTAATTTATTGTGACATTCTTTATAACATGTTTTTTTCTTTTATTTATTGAATTTTCATGTTGTGTTGACTACATTATTATCAATTAGGCGTGTTTTCTTAATATTTTTGTATTATTGGGTTTCTTTACAACGGGCTTGTTATTTTGCGATAGTATCTCATCTTCAGTAGACATTTTTGTCATTTTGTCACTGGTAATGAGATTACTACTGTAAATGACTTCTCATCACCACGAAAATTCCACATCTACACAGGATTCATAACAAACATAAGCAATAGCCATATCAAGGAACCTAGCATTTCAATTTCAAGAGTGTTTACCAACCATAAGGTTTATTTCAGATTTACTTAAACAACATAATATTACGTACTGTTTAACGTCGGCAGTCATCATGCACTTAAAATACATGTTGTCATTTTATGTCTGGGTAATAAAATGACAACATTTGTTTTAAACAACAACATACTATCATAAACCTCAAATGTACGACATTTCATTACATTTTGTTCAAATGGTAATCGTATTCTGTAAATGGGAAACATGATGGCTGTTTCTGCTACATAATGAAATTTATATGTAGGATGTCATTAAATCTTGTTTCATATTTCAGCCGAAAATGTATTGTAACCTTGCAAGTAATTTCAATGGGGTACATCAGTGTCTTCAACATTGCATTGTCATTTCACGACAGTATCTCATATTCAGTAGACATGTGTGCTATTCTGTCACTGGATCTTGAGATAACTGCTGTAAATGACAGCTATCATCGACTACGACATAGCGCCATTCTGTAACTAGATAATAATAACAACCTCAAAGTAAACAAATTCGACTGACAAATTGCAAATCAGTGGGATTGTAATCTTAAAATTGTCTGTACCTTTTTCACTCTATTGATAATTATGAATTAACTTCTGAAATATATATGTATATTTGATATTTTTTTAGGTATTGTTCGTGATAAAGGTATTTTTTATCACAATCTTGTCATTTTACGGCAGTATCTCATCCTCAGTCGTCATTTTTATCATATTGTCACTGGGTTTTGACATACGGCCGTCAATGACATCATCTGTCATCGATCGTTACATATTGCTTATCGCCACACCATTCATGTCTTATAGTACAAGTTGTCATTCGCTCAGTAGACATGTTTTCATTTTGCCACTGGGCGATATGACGCCTGTTACTGTATGACACATATCATCAACCCTAAACTTGAAGAATCTTCATTTTTATTATATTTACCTTATTTATATGTACCTACTTCGGATGTGTTTATTTCGCAATAGTCCTTTTACAATAGTGTCTATTCCTCAGTAGACGTGGTTATCATTTTGTCACTGGGTTTCTAGATTACTGCTGTATACGACTGAACTACTGTCAACGACTTTCGTTCTTTCGACGAAACAGATTTTCAACACAGTGACTTCGCGAATATTTATATGAATAACAACCTCAAAGCACTGAGCTATATATAGCACATAGCGACATCTCTTTCTAACTGCACTCAAGTAAAGATCAACACTTTGTTGTCATTCTGTAATACGGGCCT